TGTTGCTATAATGTTATTTTATATATCAATATTTTTTCATATTTATGTACAATCAAGAAACGCTCAATTAACAAATCAAAAGTCGTAATAATAACCATAATACACACTGCATGTAAATCATTTTAGAAATTCTACTTGCCACTGCTCGAAATTCATACATTCTTTAGTTTACTCCAAAATATACTAGCATTAACTCTAAGTATGAGTAATAATGTTTAACAAAGACGTATTTTGTTGACTGCTATATAATATACTCAGTTTAGTATTACAATATAATTAAAATAATATAAAAGATTTTCATCTTGTTTTTTTAGTTGTAAAACCAGTACGTTTACGTTTGCACTTAGCACTCTTACACATTATATACTCGTTTACAGTTTTACATTGCAAATCTCTGTTGTATCAGCTTTCTTCTCATCAGGGGGAGAGTGATCTTCTCTTTTACTGCAATGTTATGTAGTACAGCGGTTGCCATAATTATCCGACATGCTCTGTCTGGGGTATACCGTAGTGCTCCACCTGTAGACAGCTGTAGGCATCGGTAGCGTAGTTTCCACACACCAAATGCACATTCTATTTTGTACCGTGTGCCCTTATGAATATGAGCACGGTTATATCTTCGTTCGGATTCTGTATTTGGATTCAGGATAGGTGTCATGAGATATGGTCGAAGTGGATACCCACTGTCACCAAGCAGCCAACCGTCAATGTTTCCCGTTGCGAACGTATTTCCAATGTGTGAGTTTTGGAAAAAAAGAGTCGTGACTACTGCCGGGCCAGCGAGCCACAATGCATGTTGACAAATTCTAGGTTAGCGCTGCATATGCCTTGCAGTTTATCGAGTGGTACTGTTTTCTGTTGACGTGTATATGTTCATCATACATACTTAGGCACAGCTATTGCAATGTGTGTGCCATCACATCCACGTACGTTAGGAAATCCAGCGACGCTGTAGAAGTCCAGTTTTAGTTTGTTCACACTGCCTTGATCTTCCGGAAAGTAAACATGCATGGTTACTAGTTGGCGTGATTTGCCAGTGCTCGTGACACTCTGTAAATTATTCTTGACAGCGATGCCTTGCTGATTCCCAGTGTATCGCTAGCCGTTTGCTGAATACTTCCAGTTGCGTAAAATCGTAGTGCCGCAAACACTTGCAGAGTGAGTGGTAGGTATGACCCTAGATCTCATTGTTCTTGGCGAGAGCTCTTCTTCAAGTTGATCCACTAGATCACCAACAACATGCCTAGGCAATCTATATCTAGCGATTATTTCACTGTCATTGTATGCATCAAACGGATGCGTTCTGTCTCTAAAGATTCTTTCTCTTCGCAGACGTCTTCTTGCATGTTCTCTATTATAGGCTGCATAGAATAAAAACTTTGCCATTATTCTCGCTACACCGTCGTGCTCGCAGGTGTGGCATCGACGATGGGAACACGATGGGAACACTCCTCCACGATGGGAACACTCCTAATGGAGCGTTAGCCTTACGCATTGTAGTGACGTGTTTTTGGGGGTACGTGCTAATTACTGTAGCATCGTATGCCACATGCTCGGAACTCGTTATACGTGCTAACAAGAACTGGCTCTTGGTGCTAATCATAATACTCGCTACACGCGTAGGACCTACGTAAATCGGTGGCAAAAACAATCATTGCAATGCATACATGCATGGTAAACTAGTTACACAACCTTTGTCATACTCCTAGTGCAGAGTTTAAACAAATTCTTTTTCCCAATAACATGCGCGATAAACAGCCAAGACTATTTTTATTACGAAAGCTATTATTTCATGGTCGTTTATTGCGAATTTTGTATTTTTATGGGTTTTATATACACCATAGAGTGCTCCGCTAAATTTAGCGGGACGTGCAGAGCTCCCGCTGAAGTTGTCCGCTAAAATGCGGTAAAAAGCGAGCGACTTTAGCGAACGGAGGTTCGTGAAACGCGTCCTCCGCTATTTAGCGCACAACTCGGGAGTTAGCGGAGGAGATAGCGGAGAATATAGCGAACGGAGCTTTGTGAAACGCGCCCCTGGTCTTTAAACGGTATCTGTTTCACAATCGTGCATACATACACCCACTGACGTAGCTATAACACCTGAAGCACAGCTTTTGGAACTAATCGTGGCTCTTTAGATTAGGATAGAGACATGAAAATAAGTGGCATTTTTCTCTGAAAATGGGAAAACGTAACTTGGTCGGGACTGGTTCTTGGTTCATACTGTATAATAACCTACTTGTTGGTATTTGCGCTTCGGCTCCCCTCTCTGTCTGTCTATTTAACAGTTGAATGAAAATACAGCAGCGTAATGCATGGTATTTCACCAGCGGACACCCTTCCTTCCAAGGCCATGTACAGAAATGTGGTACAGTTGTGCTTTATATGGTTCGATCATGCATCGGTCAGGTCATATATCTATCTATCTATCTATCTATCTATCTATCTTCTATCTATCTACTATCTATTTATCTATCTATCTATATCTATCTATATATTATATATATAATATTATGTATATATATTATATATATATATATATGAGCAATTAATACTGTTCACTTGTTGCTGCTACAGGTGAGTATATATACTATGTGTACACCTGGTGAATCACATGCATGTCCAGTAACGCATGCGTGTGCAGCTTTTCTCGCGTCAAATGCATCAGGATTAGCATCAATAGGAAGCTTGCTATTTTCGTCCGCATGTCTATTTCGGTATTGCGAGAATTGTGGGGGTAACTGAGCGTTACATAGGCAGAGAAAAGTGATGCGTTGTTGGACGT